ACCAGCAAGGCACCACCATCATCTTCCTCTGTGGTGGAGAACCTCAAGGATCATACTGTTGCTATTTATGCTGCCTTGCCAAATTTGGTGGCCCATGCAGAGTTCTTCTTTGGCAGGGCCATGGGTGATGTTGCTGTGCTGAAAGATGGCACAGACAATGTCATGGAGTTGGTTCTTAGTGGCATGTTTGAAATTGACCATCAAGGTTTCTTTATGGGGCCAGAGGGTGGTTACACAGACAAGAATGTGTTTGGCCAAGATTTTGTTGAAACAAAGCTCACCTGTAACCTTCTCATGGTGCAGCATGATGCTGTTTACAGTATTACCCAGCAAGACTTTGCATTGATCATCTCCAATATCAGGGCCTTGGAGAAGCTGGTGCCCATGAAAAAAGGAGAGAGTTTGCTTTCATGCATCCATGAAAGCCATTGTCAGCCATGTATTCGACTCAGCCATGCTTTATTCAATGTGCATCTGCATGGCAGCATATCTTCCTGGTCTGACCATTCGCCATGCCCTCTGGTTCCACATAGAAAAAAGAGGACAAAGATGATCTCAAGAGTATGTCCCACAATGGTCTGTATTTCCATGTCCTTGATGCTCTGGCTCATCTCATGACCCCAGTTCAGAAATGGCAACAGCCAAGTGGCCTGTTCAAGAGGTTTTGAAGGATGCCCTCATCCAGGCAGCATCTACTCACAATGTTTTGCCTTTGCCTGCCTTTGACATTGATGGCATGCCCATCAAGCCTGTTGACTACCACTGTCTGTTATGTGGTGCTATCATTCAGGTCCACTTCACCATATTACACTTCTTTATCAGAGGTGATAGGAAGTTGGTGTCTACTACTGCTGTTCATGAGATCCATGTGTTGTGTGCTCCACTCCAAGTACCTGTTAACCCCCTCAAACACATGCATCTGAGCAATGAGAGCTCTGCTGCTGGTAACAAGAAGTCCTGTATGGTGAGGCTTCCCTGCATCTGCAATGACACTTCATGTTTCTTTGGCCTGTCTCCCAATTGTAATTGGCCTGCTGGTCTTTGGAACCACTGTAGGGAACGAGTTCAAATTCCCTACAAGAAATCATCTTGGTTGGAAGAAAATAGGGGTTGGGGGACTTGTGTTTTGTTTCTTGCTTTTGTTTTTATGTTTGTACCACTGGACTTAGTGGCGAGCAGCTGCATTGCTGACTAAGCACGTGTGCTGTGTTTGCATGAGTTCAGTTTACCATAGAAGCAATCCATGTCAGAGGCCCTCATAGCAGGGTGATTTCGTCTCACATTTCAGCAAGTTTTTGAGGTCAGAATTATTACTTTGGGGAGTACCCAAAGGGCCAGGAGGACTGGAAATAGGTTTAGTATAGCAGGCAGCAGCCCAGAGCTAAGTTTTCCTTTTAGTTTGCAATTTTTACACTTTTATTACACTTCTTTTCTCCAGTGAGAACCTCCCTTTCTGGTCAAGCACAATACTTGCCCATCACTGACACTTACTGTTTCTAGGTACTATCTATTACCTATTCCTACATCTGGAGCCCACCATGAGGGGGGTTCTGTTCATTTTTGGGGAAAGAAGCCACCTCTTTATCACCACACAAAAATTTTTCTGGATTAAGTTGGACAAGCTAAGTGTTCAGAATTTCGATTCTAGCTACAGTCTACACTCAGGAACTCCGAAATTTTTCAGAATTATTTTTCAAGCTGAAAATGAAGACTGAATGATGAAGTTGAAGATCCCTTGAGTCAAAAAGCAAATCTGAAGGGAAATTAATAGTTGAATTTTTGCGAAGAAGCTGTGAGAATGCACCGAGAGAGCTCGAGGGAATGCCACCGAGGCATTTGAGGGATGCACCATGGTTCTCAGGGTGCATGTCTGACCTTTTTAGGTATTTCGAATGGGTTCGAAGTCTTTGCAAGTGTGAGAACTGCTTCAATGACCAAGAATGGGCGAAATGGGCTTGCTGGTATGCAGGTGGCGAAGTCTCAGACTCATGGAATGAATTCATTGAAGATCAGCTGAGTTGGCCTGAATTTGTGGTGGCCATTGCATGTTTGTATCCTGGGTCCTGGAAATTGGGTCAACAGTATTCAAAGAGTGACCTTTACAGCCTTGTTGACAGTCAAGCAAGCAGAAAGATATACACAGAGAGGAACTAACAAACTACAGACTTTACTTTCTAGATTTGGCAACATATCTATGGGTTTCAAGGCAACTCAAGGCTGACAAACTTGAAGACCTCTACTTGCAAGGCTTCAACAAAGAATTCCAGTGCGAAATCTTGTGGAAAATGCGACACAATGATCAATGGCGACATTCCAACGACCCATGGCCCATGGACCAAGTAACAGTTGTGGCTATGAAATTGCTACAGAAAGGATTTTGCTTGGAGCAACCTCAGACAAGCACAGAATGTTACATTTGACCACAAAGTGACCCAGAATCAAGTTCAGATGAGCAATGACTACCTACAAAGTGTTTTCCAACTATGCCTACACATGACTCACTGACAACCAATATGCAGGGGTCTACAGAATTGTTGAGATACATGGAATGTGAGAAAGTGCCAAAATCAGTTTTGACAAGTTGTGCACAGCCATGCAGTCCACCTGAGAAGGCAAAGAGTGAAGACCAAAGCCCCAGCAGGCTTGTTGAAGCAGCAGCAGCAGCAGCAGCCCTGCTGACTACTGAGTTACAGGAAGCAGTAGAGCTCGAGCAAGTCGAACCAGCATTGGTGGAAGAACCACTCATTACGAAGGTCCCAATCGAATTCAAGGCGAGCAAGTGCACTTGAAGGGGTTCCTTGTCTTGCTTTCACCGAAGTCCTCAATTAGCTACTGATACTGTTGGTATAAGGTATTGAAGTCTTAAAGAAGACCCCATCGAAGCTCCTGCAGTCAGCTGGGAAGCACATCAGTTAACTGACGACCTGTTTGTGTCAAATATTCCACTCGAATTCGAAGCAGAAAGGCTTGAAACACAAGAGTTGAAGTCAAAGAGCTCAAAATGCTCACAGACAGTCTTGAAGCAAAAAGGTTGGCAGACGAAGGGATCATAGACTCACACAGAATGCCGCAAGGCACGACTCATTCCAAGTCGAAGGTTATTGCAAGAAGGATCGAGATCAAGAGGCCATCGAAGCTGGTCACACGAAGGAAGCCGCCGGAAGAAATTCTGCAAGTCGAAATGTTGAAGCACACGGCGAGGGTGGACGACCTCGCACTTGAAATGTTCTGCAGCCGCACAGTGTCGGCAATATATATTTTATTCAGGAGTTCGTCGAGAGTATCAACGTGCACACTCGGTATTAGGACTTGTGCAGAAAGTCCTGCGATGTTGACTAAGCGGAGTCACATGACCGCTCTGCACGTCGTGGCCGCGTGCACTCGAGTACTATATACTGACACATCTAGTACTACAGGCCAACTACGCAAGATCGCAGCGATCGAAGGATATGAAGAATGGGGCGAACAAGGTACTGTATGGAAGCTACCACGACTACAAGCGACAGCGACAACAACAAGAGTGACAACGATAGCGAGTAGCAAGATAGCGATGACGACAACGACGACCTTACCTAGCGCAGATAAACGGCCATACAAGATAGGAAGTGCCATGCTATGGAAACGGGGCACAACGAGCACGGATACTGAGCCTGAGGGCTCAAGGGTTTGTTTCAGTTTTAGACCGTTTTAGTTACATCTATTCTACACTAGGGAAAATGACTATATACGATGAAGAGCAACTGACATCCGGAAGATCGCGATACAAGGAACGATGACGATGATAAGGCTTGATGTGGATCGGTGGCCATGCAAGGCTAGAACAGCCGTTCGATGGAGACAAGGCGTGAAGAGTGCAGATGGAGAGCCCAACAGCTCACAGGTTCATTTTGATTCCGAAACATTGTACTTACATCTATGCTATTCTAGGGAATACAAGAGTACGCGACAAAGAGCGACCTACATCCGGGCAATCACGAATCAAGGGCCTATGACAAACTACAAACGAGTGAGGGTGATAACAACAAGAGCGCGAGTGAGGACGACGACAGCACTGGACTCAGAGTGACAGCCATGCGGGCTGGAACAGCTGTCTTGTGGAGACAAAGCGCGAGGAGCGTGGATACTGAGCCTGACGGCTCAGTGGTTTGCTTCGATTCCTGCACGTTCTACTTACATCCTTGTTGTTCTAGTGAAGTCAGATATCTACGATGAACCGCAATCGCTATTCAAGAATCCACAATGAACTACGGACAAGGGTTGCATGGAGGTACAGCGAATCAAGCGCAACGACTATGGTTTGATCTACAACAGTGACTTTCGAAGCCACAGCCAGATGCACGAGATGCGAGGAGCATCGAAGCCATGCTGAGTGGGCTCGAAGGCCCAAGTCTTAGCTTTTTCTTTAAGCCGTTTTACTTACAGCTACTGCGTTTAGGGAATACAAACTTCTGCAGAATATTGTACAGAAGCTACAGCGATTACTGGTGACGATGACAGCGATTAATGCAGATCGAAGGCTGCGCGAGGCAAGAACAGTCGTCCGAAGGAAACGGAGCACGACAGAGACCACCAAGGAAGACAAATATCTACGTCGAATGGCAATCGCAGTGCATGAGTCTACGATGGACTACGAACAAAGAGTAGACGACAGGTTAGAAGAGAGTGCGTGTCGACTTACAGTGATACAAGTACGACGACTACGATATGCCTCCGGAAACAAATTCGAAGCGACTTGGTGGACTTGCACACAAGACTTAGCACGAATAGCAACACGAGGGCGAGATTTGAAGTTGCGGCGGGATACACAACATGCAAGGAGTATCGAGACCACACCGAGTGGGCTCTACAGCCCAAATTTTAGTTATCTTCTTAGACTGTTTTGCTTACACCCACCGCATTTTAGGGGACGCGAATTTTTACAGAGTATCGACGAACCTTCGAGTGTCGACATGCCTATAGTACGAAGGTCCAGATCAGGACGACCTGCGACCACGTCCCTTCAAGGAGAAGATGCTTACCATACTGCTGATCGAAGTGAGTTTATAGGTCGACGAATCATCAAACAGTTGGCGAAGGGAGACCCCGTCTCCATGCTGGATATTGTGCAGAGACATCATGATGTCTCGTTTTATTCGGGAGACATTGTAGATGATCGGGACGCGCTGGATATATTGAACAAGTCGGGCGCTATGTGTACCGTACACGCTACCTTACTACAGCGAGGCGCGAAAGACCCCTCCATCTACATCAAGGTCAACGTCGAGGGCACCCGAGCTGTCATCGATGCAGCTATTGCAGCTGGTGTCTGCAGGCTCGTCTACACGAGTTCTGCAAGTGTCGTATTTAATGGCACTGACGTCGTGAAGGTCGACAGATGAACATCCTATTCACACAGGCCGTTCGACGCGTATAATCCTCGTTCTTACTCCTCTACTGCATCGAGCGAACCTGAACCTTACCCCAAGAGTGCGACAGCAAAGCTCCCCGAATTCTCACACCGTGCTCTCCCTCCCATACATGCCGCAACCAAGTATCACTGCAGGTTATGCAGCTCCGTACAGCCACTCGGTCCCTATGTCACACCCACACCCAACGCTGGGTCCATCCTATCTGCGTTCAACACCTCATTCGACCCACATGAACTCGAGCGCCCCTTCATCCATTTTCGAATCGAAGGACAGGTGTTCTGCATCGCAAGTGGAGAAGCATTTTATTTCTGGGACATTACAGGACTATGTGATGAATACGAGCAAGGTCTATTGAGTTTAGAGATACCGAGTATGTACGAACGAGCACGGGAGTCGATGGGAGTCCAATCAATGGTGTTACGGTGCACCACCAGTCAATGGTCGTTTGAAGCAACAGAAGTCATTCGATGGAGGAGAACCATAGGAGATTCACGCACCGAGCTCAACAGCTCCTTTGTTCTCTTTTGCCGTTTCACTTACTACTGTGTTGTTGTAGGAAAACTCGATATATACAAAGGAGTACGAGCGCTGTTCGAGGCAGCATGGGTTCATGCACCGAGCTCGAGCGCTTGTTTTTGTTTTTTTTGTTTTCGTGGCGATTTACTTACAAATCTACAGTGCTAAGATATGTGACGAAGTGTGGAACCACTTCCAACTCGCTACTTCAATCGGTTTCATGGCAGCTACTATAGCTCGGTTCAGTGCACAACCACGGACAACTGAAGGAGAAGACAACATGGATTCGCAAGCGGAGCACGAGCGCTTGAAGTTTCTACTCATCTTCTTGATGTTTCACTTACGAGGTTGCTGTTCTAGGATAGACTACGAAGAGAGCGATGGCTTTAGTTTAGCGTTCGATCGCAACAGCTCCAAGCACGAAGACTCACTGGCGAAAGGAGATAGCTGTTGTATTGTGGAGACAAACCTCGACTGTGAAAGCTTCTCGAGGTCAATGGCGAACGAAGTTGGTGCCTACACCCATCGGAGTCGAAGACCTATCTTCGAAGCAGGTTCGAGAATCTACAGATCTAAGGTGACAGGTTTTGTTAGAGTTCGAACATATGCTGCGTTGAGATACTTTATTTCTAGCAGTGAAAAAGTAGTGAATGAAGATGGGCAACTCGAGGTCGCTCGGTGACACTTAGTGCAAGGGCTTTGGCCACCAGACGAAGCACCTGATGAGGTACAAGGGATTGAGTGCACATGCGCAGAGATTTGAGAGTACAAGAATGAGGAGGACGGTATAGAGAAGGTCCCGGTGAGCATGTTGGTGTATAGTCTTTTCTTTAGTTCGAGCTTTGGTTCGCGCAATGTCGCTCAACCAAGTTGTGCCAGCCTTCGGGTGATTCTACTCACCCCGACGTATAATTTCATGTTTCGTTGTTTTTCCTTGTTCGGGAGTCTTTTTCTTTAGGTACATATGTGTATTTGAGATGCTTCATAGAGGGCTGAAGACTGCACCTCGAAGAGCAGCAGCAGCTCTATTCTGCACTAGATTTGTGTAGAAATATCTGTAGGCTACCTCAGTAGTGAACAAACTACTAAGTGTATTACTGTACCTGTAGGCTACTACAGGATGTCAGTATAGTAGAATACTTGTAATATAAACAGACTTACCCTCAGTAGTGAACAAACTACTGAGGGAATACTAGTAGAGAATACTACAAGTATGTGCGCTTTTTGTGCTTATGTAAGCACGCTAGCATCGCATCTAAGTACCAACAAACAGTGGCACTTTATGTTCCAACAATTTGTTACTCACTTGTTTGCATGCCCAGAGTTACCTCTGGTCATTCAGTTCAAGGAACTTGGGGGCTGTGGAGTGATTGAGGGTCGAAGGGGTCGTCTGTGAGGAGGGCGAGGAGTTCAAGAAGCAGGGTGCATGTTGGAGAGGCCAGGTGGTGGTTCTGGGTGGAAGGAGCTGTGTTTGGAGGCAAGGAGTTTTGAGGGTTGAGAGGGTTGTTCTGTGAGGTCAGGAGTGGATCTTGGGGAAGAAGGGGGGTTGTGTTCGAGTAGTGCAAGGTTAGAGGGGCGAAGAGCCATGTTCAAAGGGCATGAGGGTAGAGAGTGAAGGAGGATATGGGGCGAAGTCGAGGGAGGCGAGTGCAAGGACGAGGGTGTCTGTGTGAGGAGGAGAGCAACCAGGGATGGTTGAGTTCTAAACCACCCCTTGGATGTAGGGAATGAGTTCGAATTCCCTACAAGAAGTCATCTTGGTCAGAAGAAAATAGGGGTTGGGGGACTTGTGTTTTGTTTCTTGCTTTTGTTTTTGTGTTTGTACCACTGGACTTGGTGGTGAGCAGCTGCATTGCTGACTAAGCACATGTGCTGTGTTTGCATGAGTTCAGTTTACCATAGAAGCAATCCATGTCAGAGGCCCTCAGTAGCAGGGTGATTTCATCTCACATTTCAGCAAGTTTTTGAGGTCAGAATTATTACTTTGGGGAGTACCCAAAGGGCCAGGAGGACTGGAAATAGGTTTAGTATAGCAGGCAGCAGCCCAGAGCTAAGTTTTCCTTTTAGTTCGCAATTTTCACACTTTTATTACACTTCTTTTCTCCAGCAAGAACCTCCCTTTTGGGTCAAGCACAATACTTGCCCATCACTGACACTTACTGTTTCTATGTACTATCTATTACCTATTCCTACACTGCTCTGGACTTCAAATGGGTGACATGGGCTTAAGTACATCATGTAAATTAATGTTATCCATGAGCTCTGTGACTGTCACTTTAAGTGGCATATTTCTTTATTGCACTTTGGTGTAAGGATTCTGCATCTCATGGTCATCAACACATGCATAGTCACATTTAGTCACAACACATGGGCAGCCTGTGTGCCAAAACACCAACACTTATATAGACCCCAAGATGGGCCCACCTAAATAAATTAGCCAGTACACATGGACAGGCCTGAGGGACTAAAGTGAGAGCAACATATGTACAGGCCTGTAAGTGCATTACAACAACATGTAGGAGGGCCCACAGTGGGTAAGGATGTTGAAACATTTAACTTAGTTGCTGTAAGACATGGATGGGCCTGTCCTGGTAGGTTACACCCCTGTTGCAACATCAAGGTGGGCCTGCCTATCATAACATGGAGAGGGTCACAACATAAGGACAGGCCTGGGAGTAATATCATTTATGGTGTTGCAACATCTAGACAGGCCCATTCATAATAAGCCATACCCCTGTCACAACATAAAGACAGGCCTGTCAGTAATGTTGTTTCATAATGTCACAACATATAGACAGGCCTGTCGACAGTAAGATGTACTGCTGTTGAAACATAAAGACGGGCCCATCACTAGTATCATTTAATAGAGTCACAACATAAGGTTGGGCCCATCAGTAGTATTATGCAACATATGGATGGGCCCATCCACAGTAAGATGTACCTCTGACAAGACATAAAGATGGGCCCATCAGTAATCTCATGTATAGCATCACAACATATGGATGGGCTCTTCAGTAGTATTATTTATATTGTCACAACATATGGACAGGCCATTCAGTAGTATTATTTATATTGTCACAACATATGGGTGGACCCAGCCCCAGTAAGATATACCCTGTCGAAACATAAAGACAGGCCCATCAGTAATGCTGTTTAATAGTGTCACAACATAAGGATGGCCCTTCAGTAGTATTGTTTATATTGTTGCAACATATGGATGGGCCCATCAGTAATATCATCTAATAGTGTCACAACATAAGGACAGGCCCTTCAGTAGTATCATGTATATCATCACAACAAATGATGGGCCCATCTAGCAAGATGCACCCCTTTTGCAACATAAGGACGAGTCCATGTATGGTATTCTTAGGCAGCAGAAAGGGAGATCCAAGCTATCTACATAAGGACAGTCCATGTAAGGCATTCTCAGGCAGCAGAAAGGGATGTCATGACCATGTGTTCATCCTAAGTCCTCACTCACTCTGCACCCCTTTCCGCTGGTCATTCACTCACTCCACACCAACTCTGCCTACCCCCTGATGTTTACAAGTCATCTCCACTCTGACTGCTGTCAGACTTGTACTGCCCTCCTACTGGACTGCATGGGCCATTCTCTGAGGAGTCATGTGACTACCCTTTGGACTTCTCCCTGACAGCATGTGGTCAGGGACTCCACAGCACATGCACTGCATGGTCTAGTGCCTGGACTGTTTCCTCTTTGGGTTGTTCTGTGTTACCTGTTCATATGTCCTCCATCTACCCTTCATTCATCATCTAGGAAATTTTACTTGAAGTTTTACAAGTCTCTGTATGTCAGTTCCAATTCCAATTACTGTACCTCTGTGGTAGTATAAAAGCATGTACCATACTCTGCTGTTCTTCAGTATGAATATTGACTTAGTTCCTACTCCCTCTGTCTCCATCTTCTGCCTGTCAGAGTTACCTCCAACTGTCTGTCTGTACTCCCCCTCTGAAATATGAGGGCTGAGATCATGCAAGGGGGTAGTGCATGAGCTAAACCTGACACCCTCACTTTGCTCTGCCCTTACCTCAGTGGACTTCATTCTTGCCAACACTCCACAAGTCAGAGTTCTGCTCTTTCTGTCGGACTTGCTTCTGAACCTCTCCCCAGACCTTGTCCAGCATCAGAGTTGGTCAGAGTAGGCCCAGACTTGACAGTATATTTGTACTTGCACTTGTATGATCTCATTTTCTGTCTTCCAAAAAACTTACACCATTATGAGAACTTGAGCTCAATCCCAGAGAGAGGTCACTGAGAACCTCACTGTTGCACTAGCTAATCTGTGTCGACTCCCTTCTGTCATCAAACAGTTCCAATCATTCTCCACCTGATGCTGCTCTCATGCTGTAGGCAAATGCACTTTGCAAGCTGGTTGCTCTGACCTCCATCCAACCACTTTCCATACTCTGTCTCCTCATAACTGAGA